ATATATATATATATATATATATATATATATATATATATATATATATATATATATATATATATATATATATTTTGAAAGTATTGAAAATGTAGAACTTGTAGAACTGGGTATTATCACTCTACAGACTGTTTCATGCTAATGCAATCTTCAGGAGTGAGAGAATACAAGGGTTGTGCGAGTATATGAATGCTAAGACAGGTGAAAATGCAAATGAGTTAATTGTTTTTAAGTAGGTATTTGTTGCTGTGCCTGCATTTAGACAATAGCTCGGTTCTTTTGTTTAGTGTTGACTCTGTCTCTTATACACATCACTCCGCTTATAGCATTCATCTTATCACCTGTAGACACATGCCGATCCAAGCACGACGATTGATTGATAAAATGAAGAATCACCCTTCAGTCGACTTTGAAAACGACTGGAAACTTGTGACGTTGTTCATCGGCGGCAACGATTTATGTCAGTATTGTGACAACCCGAACAAATTTGATCCTCACCAGTACATTGAATACATCGACGAGGCACTCACATTGATGCAGGAAGAGGTATTCTGTTATTGATTAATAGTAGAAGTAGCAGCTACAGTAGTAGTAGAAGTAGCAGCTACAGTAGCAGTAGAAGTAGCAGCAGCAGCAGTAGTAGTAGTAGTATCGGCAAGGGCGCAGATCTGTTTTGAAAGGCTGGAGTGGGGAGAAGTCGTGAGTCCACACAAAAATTGAGGAGTACCAGATGACCGAAATGACACCCTTATATATTAAAATTCATCATCATGTAACCTGCCTTGAGCACTCCGTCGTTAAAATCTCGGTCAATGAATGCAGTTCATTTCAACAATTTTTCAGGCATCATCTTGACTTATGAAATTACATTGCGGTCGAAAAGTGAGGGGGAACCAACCCCTTTAAAATATCTGATGGAATGTGTCCCCATGATCTGCGCCCATGAGAGGCAGATGCAAAAGCAGAAGTAATCGCGCAGCACCAGTAGCAGCACCAGTAGCAGCATCAGTAGCAGCAATATCAACAGTAGTAGAAGCAGTGGTATCAACAGCATAGTAGCATCAGTAGCAGCAGCAGTAATAGTATGCAATATCATTACCAGTAACATTGTCATTGCAGAAGCAGTGGCCGATACAAGGGTGGAGGGGCAGCCCCCCCCCCCCTAAATTTTTCAAAATTGTAAACAATTTGAGAAAAAAAAAGATATTACATTCAAATTTTAAGTCTGAGATTGCCATTTCTGACCTTCTAGAGGTGACATAATCGTAAATTTTCATTCCTCAGCCCAAACCAGATGGGGCTTAGACCCTCCATCTGTCGAAGTACTTCCCTGTGCCCCCTCTATTTCATATTCCTGGATCCACTGTAGTAGTCGTAGTAGTAGTAGCAGCAGCAGAAGGTAGGGGCCTAAGTAGTAGCATTTTATGTTTGCATTTTTTCAGCTTCCGCGAACCATAGTGAATGTCGTTGTAATATTGAATGTCCCGCAGATAGAGCTCCTGTCCTCTCCTAAATGTGACGCAGTTCATCTGTAAGTATTTTATAGACATAAGCAATGTGAAATTATAAGACGCATGATTTGTTGAATAATCAGTTATGATTAATAAATAAATACATAAATGCATAAATAAATCAATATGTAAAATAATGGATGAATGTATAAATGAATGAATGGATAAATGAATGAATGAACGATCGAACGAACGAAAGACAGGCCGACCGAAGGAAAGAACAAACGGACGAATGACCAATACGGTCTAACTGATAAATATAAAAAGTTATATGAGGGTGATGGATGGATGAACAGGTAGATGAATGCCAGAAGGTTGGTGAGTGGGGAGTAAATGAGTGGGAGTGAGAGAAGGAGTAGGGGAGCGAGAATGAAGTTTACAAATACTGTATTAATGGATATTTTGTTTAATTTTAAGTTTCCTAAGAAACAGGATTGAGATTTAATTTATATAGCACAACTTTCATTCTTTGAATGGCAAGTCACCCGCTCTTGAATCTGAATAAGAATTAAATTAATACAAAAATATTATTAATAATTTCTTTTTTTATTGTAAAGAGTTGTTTGTGATTGTGCTATGTTTTTACCAAACGAGACGGCTGCCCATTTGCAACAAGTAACCGCAAATTACCAGGTTTGTATTACCTAATATATATGTACATATACATTCCGAAATCAACTAAATATCAACTCCCAATATCTGCAGACAGGTCCACTTCGGCCTTACAAGCTTCATCAGTGCAGCTAGGGTACAGATCAAGACGAAACGTGCGATCAGCCTATATACAATATATATATATATATATACATATATATATATGTATATACATATATATATATATATAGTTGCTTTGGTGCTACAAAATAAAGGTTTGATGAATGAGTATTTATTTTATTACTATTAATGTGATTAGTTAACATGATTTTAAAGTACGTGAAGACTAATAGTTATAGACATTTTACAGGACTGGACCATTGAACTTGTTGAAAGCGGAAAGTTTGACACTAAGGAAGATTTCACGGCAGTTTCTCAACCATTCTTTACCAAAACAGATACACCAATGATACCCGAGGTAAAACAAACGCGAATGAATAAAATATTACATGAAAGTACCTTACGAGCTTATAACATATTAATTTAAGCTCTATTCTTCTAAATGCAGTTAAAAGTGTAAACGCTCTGAGCACTTTATACATGATTAGTTGTGATCTGGCGTGAGCACATTATTACATGTTACGGTAATTGACCAATCAGCAAGGGCTTGACCCATAAACGCATGGTGTTGACCTAAGTTTATATTACGCTGTAATTTTTCTAGAATATCGATGAGTCATAATCACAAAAATACCCAAAGTAGTTCCTTAAATTTCCGAATTCCAATTATAAAAAGTGTTGATTCTTTACGTTTTATTACAACTCTATTAAAGATTGGAATTCCCTGCCAAAAGAAATAAAGTCATTAACAAGCATGTCAGCTTTTAAGATCAAAACTAAATGTTATCTCGCAAACCAAACTGAAATGTCATAATACATTTAGGCTTGTTTTTAATGCAAAATGTAAATACTAATATAGTTTTATTAAAGCTTTTCAGCTTTTTAAACTTATTTTTTTATTGTATTATGTTTTAAAGTTATTTTTATCCTTACGAATTTTACATTTTTACATTGTTTTAATGTTTTTAATTTTAGCCTTGAAATTTTATACTTTTAATAGTTGTATTACCACATTTTAATATGCCTTTTTAACCTACTATTTTATGCTATGCGACCATTTAATTTAATTAATTAATTAATTTATTTATTTATTCATACATTCATTTATTCATTCATTCATTCATTCATTTATTTATTTATTTATTTATTTATTTATTTATTTATTTATTTATTTATTTATTTATTTATTTATTTATTTATTTATTTATTTATTTATTTATTTATTTATTTATTTATTTATTTATTTATTTATTCATACATTCATTCATTCATTCATTCATTCATTCATTCATTCATTTATTTATTTTTTTTTCTTTTCTTTTCTCAAGGACCCCCATTGGAAATAAGTCGTTTCATACAACTTTCATGGGCTATCCTAGTATACCTAGTTTTCAACATCGGATTTTATTGAATTTTAATTGTTAATCTTTTTTCTTATTTTAAAGTCTGTATTAACTTTTTTGAAACTCCTTGTTATTTGATTTTATTGTTGATGTTAAGGTATACTGAATAAAGTCAAGTCAAGTGGCATAACGTCTGTGCGCTCACATGCGGCTGTCTGGACCCCCGACACCTAGTAGAGGCAGTGGCGTAACGAAGGCCCTTTGGCTTTCTGAGACTGGGGGCCCTTTTTGGGTCGCGGTCGCCAATGTCAATGTAGGATTTTAGATGTGCTCTTTTTAAATCATTTTGTCATGTAATCTAAAAGTTTTCAACGACGACATGAATAATATGATATCAGTAGCAGATCCAGGAATTTGTAAAAGGGTAAAGGGATGGAGGGTCTATACCACCTTAGCCCCACGATGATCACAGATGGAGGGTCTATACCACCTTAGCCCCACGATGATTGGGGCTAAGTTAAGAAAATTTATGATTAAGACAACTCTTGATTGCTGGAAATGACACTCACCGTTTTAAAATTTGAATATAATCTTTATCTCCATTAACTTTTATAAACTTTTTACAAGTTTAGGGGCCCTCTTTAATCCTCCGCTGGATATATGTCCTACAGTTGATGTCAGTAACAAATTACAGTATGCTAAATCGCGGACCCTAGGGCCTTTCGGGGTCGGAAGCCCTGCGAACCGCCACACGAGAGCGCATTTAGGGGCCCGAAGAGGCCCCTGCTTATACTGTAGGGCCATCAATCTAGCACCCTGCCCTGGCCAAAAAAAATCGTTAATACATAACAGCATAAGGCCAACCCAAACATAAGGCCAAATCCAAAAAAATGGTAGGTCGGTAGGAAAAGTTTTTTTTTTATTACATTTTTTTAAACCAATAATGTGTTTATGTCTAAAAAATATAAAATACACAAAAATACAATAAAGATCATTTTAAAATTTATATTGAAGAGCAAAACGATCGCATAACACTGTCACATCGCCTACCGTCGCAAGAGAAGCCCATTCTAATATATTTCAACACACTTACCTATATGGCATACAACTCATGTTAATCTTCTGTCACTGTATGTATACTGTATATATTTTATATTATTAATTTAAATGTAATTTAAATATTTTTGCACTGTATATTATTAAATTTGTAGTTGTCTTGTAATTTTATCTGTATGTATTTTTGTGTATTCCTTACTCTGGAAAGAAAATTCCATGTACTTTGCTTGTATATAACAATAAATGAAATCTAGAATCTGGAATTTTCTAGCCTTTTTAGCACAGTAAAAAAAATTCGTTATAGTCAAAAAAGTAAAAAAATAAAATAAAACGCCGACCCTAAATTTCGAACATTTTGGGTCGGTTGGGCGTGTCCAACACAATATTTTTTTTATTTGGCCTAATGTGTCTCTGACATCGAGTGTAGAACATACAGTATATCATATTATATACAGTAACGTATTGAAAGGGAGTCCGGACAGCCTGACTCCCTATAATAAGAACATGCCGTGATAAGCAGAAAATAATATTCAAGTGATGCCCGTTTCCGGCGATCTGGTGCCAAAATCATAAATTTTCTTACCTCAGATACTGGGCTCACAAGGGAATTGACGACTGGGACATAAAACGGCCCCCATTCTCAAAACAGAGCGGTCCTTGTTGATTCATTTATATATCATTTATTTAACTTTATTCCAACAGACTGGAGAGCCTGATTTCAGCTTCTTTGCTCCAGATTGTTTCCACTTCAGTAGCAAAGGGCATACAGCTTCGGCTGGAGAGCTTTGGAACAACATGGTAAGATCGTGTATACGCTAAATAACGAACATTGCGAACCTATATACAATATAAAATGCGATACTAGAAGGTCTAAGAAAAAAAAAACAAGCTACTAACAATAAACAGGATTCACATCCCCTTCCCCAGCACCTCTAAACAGCTTTGCAAAGCCCCTCCCCCCACCACCGTCGGGGAGAAAAACCACAATTTGTCGGGGAAAAAACAATTATATGTATTTTCTACATATTAATAGACTCAGTAAAATCGATTAAATAAGCCTTTGAAACCCGTAAATTATCATATTCTTAGGGGCTTCTCCCCTGACTTCTTTACAAAGCTTTTGAGCTACGCCCGACCACTCCCATTTTGTTCTCTTCTGGGATATCTTCCCCTTCCCCGTTGGGGACCTTGAACCCTCCCCCGTCGGGCAATTCCTGTCGTCCCTGCCTCTAAATTTTTCAAATTCCATGTCAGAAAGCGCAATTTCCGGCCATCTAGTGGTGCCATAATCATACCTTTTCTTATCTCAGCATGGTGAAAGTCCTCCCCTACCTCCACTTCTTTCGAATTCCTGGATCCACTGATAGGCCTAATTATATATCATTCTTTACTTCAATATTCAGCTGATGCCTGTTGGTAAGAAACGGACGACCTGGCTACCGTTTTCAGACCTAATTTGCCCGACTAAGGTAATGATATAAAGTCTGTGTTGTATCACCATGACAATGCAAAATGCATTAACTTCAACAACCTGTTATGTATATAAATAATATAGGCTTACATTACATAATGTCCGGTGTCCGGCCATTTCATAACTTTGTAGCCTAATATCTAAGTATTCTAATTTATGCTTAAAAATGTTACAGTCCCTTAGATTGGTAAGTACGGTACAATCCCGAGTGCAAAAGAATAAGTCCATTATCGTCATCTGTCCTTTTGATCAGTGGCATATCTACTACAATATGAGCTTTGAAATGGGGGTGTTGATGGGGTGGTGAAGGTAGAGTATGCTTGATGATTATGTGAGGGGGTGCTAGATCGCAAAATAAGATGATATGAGGTAATTGTTTAACTACTTGAATGTGATTTTTTTGCTTCGGAAATTTTAAATTGCGGAGAGGTGGAGGGCTTAGGGATGCGGTGCGTCCACACCCCGCCCACCCCTAGATACGCCACTTCCACTCAGCAATATACACTCCCATTCACATAATATGTGGACAGTTTAAACCGTTGATGTCAACACCATGCAATCTCACTGTTTTAGAATATATTTATTGTATCATGTTTTCTTTTCTTGTTCAGGAACATCCATTCATATTTACGAATGTGAACAGTCGTGAAGATTTTGAGCTCACCGAGCCACCACCTACAATAAAAGCAGCCGAACCAACATCGCCATCACGTGCGCATACAATGAATAATTCTTTAACCTTAATGTTGCTGCTCCTATTTACTAAAATGTTTATACAGACATAGTGTAATTCTTGACAAGACAAAACATCCTCGCTCTTGTATCATTATTTTACATTTGAAACCATTACGGTTATACAAAGTAGAAACGTGTTCCTTGACATTATATAAATATAAAATAACACATTGTATTCCTACAAGTATACGTCAACTGTGTATAATTTTTATCGTATCAATGTCTATATTTATATATATTTCTTTGAGAACATACGTGCTGCTTATTACCATCTTATTAATGCCTACTTTATATATATATAATATATATATAATATATATATATAATATATATATATATATAAATATAAATATAAATATAAATATATAAATTTAAAAAGGACCTATTATACATATCATTATATATATATATATATGTATAATGTATATATATACTGTCTCTTATACACATCTAGATGTGTATAAGAGACAGCCCTATAATAAGAACATGCCGTATATATATATAAATGTATACATGTTTTATATATGATAGCAATATATATATATATATATATATTATTGTGTGGAGTAAGATGTGAAAATAATGATTACGGTACGTATGGCTAATTAATTGTTAGTTTTAATATACATGAATGGTGTACTTGTAAAATTATGTTTTCAGCAGAATACCGGTAACGTAAAACCTAATAGAAGTCCAATGGGCTTAATCTCGAGAAGCCCATCACGAATTGAAGCGCCCTTTTTAGTTTGCAAAAGTAGCCTCGAAAAGAAGCCCAACAGTAACGTATAGGCCTATATACTGTGCATAAATTTCAAAGAAACACAAATAAATATAAATACGATTTGTTTTTACAGTAGTTTAGATAATTCAACGCCGGTTAAAAACACAATACACTTCATGATACATATTGATGTTACAGTGGCCGTATTTATTGTTTTTTACTAGTAATACCTTAATTTTAAAAAGATTTTAAGAAGATCTCCTTACTTTGCATAAGTAGTCTCGAAAAGAAGCCCATCCATAGTTCCCCCCACCCACCCAAGAAAAAAAAAAGTCCAGGGCTTCTATTGTAGGTTTTACGGTACATCATGCTACTTTTTAAGAGTGGCATCATTATTAGTACTGGATTATGTAAGTAGGAATTTCTCTAACTTGTGTATAAATCCGTAAATTTAACAAAATAAGCCGTAAGACAATTATAAATAAAGATGCACATCTAATATCATGATTTTTCGATAATTTGAAAGTTACCTTTCATTTTCTTTTTCAAATATATTCGTGCAAACTATAGGCCTTGTTGTTAGAATTATGAATCATTCAGAAAATGTTTTTAACCTAATGTGGTTACTCTTTCCTTACCATAAATGTTAAATGGTGGCAATGGAAATGGGAAGATATTCAGTGTTGAGCTAAAAAGGGAAAACATGATCAATAAAATTCAATTTTTAAATTGCTTACTTTACGTTCTGTATGTGGGTGTGTGTGTGCATGTGGGTGTGTGACCCTGTTTCTGTTTTGTGTGTTTTTGTATTTATCTGTGGTATATGTATATGCTTATAAAAATATTTTAAGACACCCTGTTATTGGCAAGTGATTGCTCATGTATGTGGTTTTAAAAATGAAGAATAAAGAATGAATATTTAACTTACGGACGTATGCATGTCAGCAATCATCTATAGAATTCATCTCGTGTTTAAATATCCGAAATCGAGAACAGATAGGCAGCCGCCCCCCAGATGTGTACACTAAATTTTTCAAAATAAAAACAAAATTGAGAAAAAAAGAAGATTCTACTAAAATTTTGAGTCCAAGAGTGCCATTTCCGGGCAGGTGCCATAATCATATATATAATTTCGTACCTCAGCCCCAACCATGGTGGGGCTGAGGTAGTACCGTATAGACCCTATCTCTGTAAAAGTCCATTTTCGGGCCCCTCTATTTCAAATTCCTGGATCCGCCACTAACAGAACTTCTTTTACTTATTACTATTATTGCTGCCAGTTTCTGGCCCTTGACGCCTAAAAAAAATCGTTCGTTTATAATTCCATTTAGATCATGCCTACATTCGGCAGATTAGGCTTTTTGTTTATCATTCCATTTGAGAGGCATACATTCTGCAGATTAGGCTTTTCGTTTATCATTCCATTGAGATCATAGGCCACATTCGGCAGATTAGGCTTTTAGTTTATCATTCCATTGAGATCATAGGCCTACATTCGGCAGATTAGGTTTTTCGTTCATTATTCCATTGAGATCATATTCCTACATTCGACAGATTAGGCTTTTCGTGTATTATTCCATTGAGATCATAATTCATAAGCCTACATTCAGAAGATTAGGCTTTTCGTTAATATCATTCCATGAGACCACTACGAGTGAATACCATGTTTGGAAGTGTGTTTCTGTTCTTTAGTATTCAAGTTTTCGCTCTTCGTACGCTGGTCACTTAAATGCACGATAGAGCTACTTGCTCGGCCCCAGCCAACTGAACGGAGGGAGGAAGCAGTGCGACCCCTAAGCCATGATGATGCACTGAACCTAGCATTGCCATCCCGAGTGCCTGTCAGTTGAATGAGACTCCCTGTCCGTCTCCCCTGCAGTCTGTTAATCGCCTAGTCCTGTCAAGTATCACCGCCAAGCGATCATCATATGATGCCGCAAGGCTAAGTACTCAACCTCGCCAAGGCTCGGGCCTTCGCAAAGGCCCGGGCCCAGACTCAGCGTAGGGTTACCGGCCTATAACCGACAAGAAGCCTCGTCGAGCCCGGAACCCGTCAGGGAAAGAGGCAGGTGAATTGATTTTGTATGTGATTAGAATATATTTGGTTCAATTGTACGTATGGTATTGGTGTTATTACCTGCATAAGCAATCAACGAGGATACATTAGGCCTATTTATTGTATTGTTGTACAGCGAAATTGCTTTTTTGGCCTTATTTAAAAATATAATTTTTAGTGATATTATTGAACATTTATTATTATCTTAAAGTACTTTATATTTCATATAAAAATAAAGGCTACTAAAATCGTGTTAAAATATATTATAAAATATGCAAATGAGGAATATGAAACAGTTGGAAATGTCTAGAGGCGTATCTATCTAAACTTCAAACCAAAATGAAAAGCGAGACATTGAATAATAAAAAATAGAAATCACTTTTTTAAAAGGAGCTGTAGGTGCCACCAGAACGCAAAACTTTTACGTTTTTTGCAGAAAATTGGCCAAATTTCACTTTTAAAAGTTTTAATTCAGAATCGACAGATTACTGTATGTTTTGTTCATAGTTACCAACCTTAAAGATTTGAAATGCGTGAGTACACCAGTTTGTTGGGAGGGGGCAAGGCCCGGGGTCCAGTGGTCCAGAGGCGGAGCCCTGAGGATCTGAGCATTTTAAGCTGTTTTAAATCGATTTCAAGAAGCGTTTGTTGACAATACCGGGTCCAAAAATATTTTTAATAAAGACACATACAATTTGAGTTTCAATGTAGGGCCTATGTTTAATTCACCCGAACTATGTACACAAACATTTCATTACTTAAACAATACAAACAAAAATGAATAGGCATACTGATTAATGTTTAGTAGCGTCAGTGAATTAAGTATTCACGTAAATACTGTCTAATGACTCAAGTTTAAACTGCATGACCGTTTTTATATTTTTAATAAAACTAATTTCTTCTAATTTTAAATAGATTTTCCCCTGAATTTTTAACAATTCGTTATCGCGCATAGACATGTGCTAAATGCATGACAAATTTATGATCACGCATGTGTTTCTGAAAAATGCGTGTTTCAACCAAAATCACTGTGAAATGCGGGACCGTCCCGCACGATGCGAGACGGTTGGTAACTATGCATTGAGATCACAATTATGCCTATATTCGGCAGATTAGGCTTTTCGTTTATCAATCCATTGAGATCAGGCCAACATTCAGCATATTAGGCTTTTCGTTTATCATTCCATTGAGATCATAGGCTTACATTCGGCAGATTAGGTTTTTCGTTCATTATTCCATTGAGATCATATGCCTACATTCGGCAGATTAGGCTTTTCGTATATTATTCCATTGAGATCATAATTCATAAGCCTACATTCAGAAGATTAGGCTTTTCGTTAATATCATTCCATGAGATCATAGGCCCACATTTGGAAGTTTATAGGATTTTCATTTACCATTCCATTTAAATCATAGGCCTACATTCGGCAGATTAGGCTTTTCGTTTATCATTCCATTGAGATCATAACACACTCGGCAGATTAGGCTCAGTTCGTTTATCATTCCAGAACTCCACTCCCTTAGCCTCATAAAGAGACTTCTCCAGGTCGGCCCGCCACACCCCATTCCCCTCCCCTCTAAATTTTTGAATTCTAAGTCTGTGCGTCCCCACCCCGCGCACCCCTAGACATGCCACGGCCACTCAGCATTATACACTCACATTCACATAATATGTGGACAGTTGCCGTTGAGTAAACACCAATCATGCTATTGGAGAATATATTGTGGTTATATATGTTTTTCTTTTCTTGTTCAGGAACATCCATTCACATTTACTATTGTGAACAGCCATGAAGATTTTGATCTCACCGAGAAAAAGAAATCGAACCAACACCGTCATCACGTGCGCATGTAAAGGATGTTTCTTTAACTTAATGTTACTGCTAGACTAAAATGTTTATACAGGCACAGTGTTAATTTTTACCGTCGAGACAATATATCAACACATTCACTTTGCAATTGAATCAAATATTTCATGGGTGGGCTTGTTGTCAAATGGCAATTTGAACAGGAAAGCTCAATAACAAGTCCCTGGTTAAAACACACAAAATAACCCAAAAGTTTACAATTCTCAACTTTCTATCACCAGGAAATCCTTTTACTTCAATTCGCTTGCACACTTCGAAAGAAAGTTAAAATTCTCCAGCAATGCACGGAATAAGTCAAGCAGAAAATACAACTAGTAACATATCTGTATCCGTTTTATTACAAACTTAAAGATAAGTTATGTCAAACTAACTTATCTATCAATAATTTAAACCAAAGTAACTTATTTAACATTACCATAAATGACCCAATAAGCGCCGTAGTTCTTATAAATGGTGTTGCGGTTCCAGTTTGGTACGTACTTTATGAGGAGAAATTGGCACTTCGTACAGACTTTTAAAAACAAATGACAATTATTGTTCAAACGTTCATTATGCATAATGAATTTCGTGAGACATATAAAAATACCTCGATTATACGAAATATCGAGGTTCATTGTAAAAATAGAGTAGGCCTATGTACCCTGATTAGTTTCTGTAATATTTACTCAAAATATACATCTAATAAGCGCTGTTGAATATGGCGCTTATTCGAGCGGCGCTTTTAGATCATTTAGAGTAAGTTAAACTTAATTCCTTAAAATTATTTATACACTTGTTTGTACTAGCAATATGGCATCTAGGCCACAAGATGTACGGTGTAACTTTTGATGTTTCAGTTAAGTACAGAATTTATATTGTAACACGTCTAACAATAAGTTAAACCAAAATTTACACATATGATGCCTCCAGTGTTCTTTAGCTTTGTAAGGGCAGTGATTTAAACGGAAGCCAAACAGAACAATACATACAAAATAAATAAGTTGTTTTTTTGTAAATATTTTCTTTAAATCTAGAAATTATTTAAATTAGAAAGTAATTCATTTTAAAAATTAGAATTTTGTTTCAGAGATCCACAAATTATTGTTCAGGACTTTAAATTTCATTCAACTTGGAAATATTTAATTAATTCATTTTCCTAATATTTTCTCAATGGGTGTGGATGAAAGACTAACAAAACTGTTTGCTATTCTTAATATTTAATCCGCAAATATATTCAAAATCAGTTTAGTTAACATATAAATACTGAATCAATTTAGGTAACTCAACACTGAAAAACATCTCCCTAAGCCATGTAATGAGACTGTGTTTATAAAGAATGACATTTATTTCATATATATTACAGGACCCCATTATCACCTTACCTTCTACGATAAATGGAAGGGTTACACCCCTATAGATCATTGGTGTATCTGAGTCTTGAAATGGAGGGTGGAGCAACTGAAGGAGGAAGCTTGATGACAAGCAATGGGGAGCTAGCTTACAAAATAAGGCGATATGAGTTAGTTTTTATCGACTTCAGCATAATTTTTTATTTTATAGCGGGGGCGACTGGAGGGGTGCCAGTTTTATGGGGGCTTGGGGAGGGGGCGGCATGTCCCCTAGATACGACACTGAGGTTGTTTTAAAATTATTCTGTTGGCCACGCCCGACTGACCTAAAATATACGAAATTGAGGTTCTGCATTTTAGTTTTTTTACAACAAAAAATATTTTTTAATGAGCTAAAAAGGCTGGAATATGCCTATCCTGTTCGACGGTAGGCGATGTTACAGTGTTATAACTTTTCCTAATGACCTACCCATTTTTTCAAAAATGTGGCCAACACAAGAATTTTTTTTTTGGCCTAATAGCCTGCACCATTGAATATCACAACATTATTACAAAAATTAATTCTTGATGCCATTAATCAAGCACATTGTGTTAAACGCACAATAAATAAAATTCATTATCATTATCAGAACCTTTTGTTTCAATAATAATTAACACACCAGGAAGGTAAAATTTATTCTTCAGAATTGCACTGACACTACCTCAATCAACTTGAGAGAGGTGTATTTATTTATCCACAGGTACTGTAAGTCGCTGGTTCTCAACCCTTTTCAAACCAGAGTCTGCTTGTAAGTCAATTAAAATGCTACATTACCATTATTGTTGGTGGATACATTTGGTTTGAGAAACATACTTTGAAATGTTTTTTTTTTTCTGTCCAAATTTAAAATTTATCAAACATATTTTCTCTTACACCTCCCTAACCATAAAAATGGTTATAAATAACAATAAACCCAATAAATCGAAAATATCCTCTTGTTTACAATAACTGAGAGGTTGCCTGAAAAGTGAAAAGTACTGTTCCTCCTTCTTGCGCTGAAGCCCCCGCGGTCAGGTTTTAACTTGAGTCTGATGGCCTGGCTCCTCAAATAACCCTCATGTTAAGGAAATTGTTTGTATCCATAACTGTGGCCGCTGTGGGTCCCCATTGGCCCAGTCCAAATTTGCAATTAGAAATGAGGATAAGATAAAGAATTATATTATTATAATGTGCAGTGGCGTATTAAAAGGGGGCCCAGCAGGCCCGGGCACCCTAAGTTTTTCAAAATTAAAAATAAAATTAAGAAAAAAGAAAATTCTACTCAAATTTTGAGTGTACAGTAAGAGTGCCATTTCCGGCCATCTACAGTAGAGGTGCCATAATCATATACCATGGTGGGGCTGAGACCCACACATAGACCTTCCATCTGTGAAGGCCCCTCTCTGGGCCCCCTCTATTTCAAATCCCTGGATCTGCCAATGATGTGAGTTTCTTTAAAAAAGAAATGTATTATATGATTTATTATATTTTTGATATCATTTTGAAACTCGTGGTTGGTTTTTTGGACTGCAGTACAAGGGTTGAGAACCAGGGATTTACATAGTAGTTTCTGTCTGCATATATCTGGTTCTTGTTTCCTTGGTAACATAAACTTTGTTCAATTTCTGATTCTTGTACTGAAAAGCTGACTGCAGATATCTTCTGAATAACCACAGTTAATCCATGTCATCGTCATAATCATATTCATCGTCTCCTGAAATGAATGAGAAAAATTAAAAGATTGTAGATAATTGATTATAGTATTAACATCAATCATATCATCGGTGTTACCATTATCATCATTATCTCAATTACACTGATGCTATCATAATCATTATATTATAATGTATACCATAATAATCATCTTATCTGTATCATCAACATATTCTTGTATCATAAAATATCAGCATCTTACCTGTATCATTATCATCATCAACACCATCTTACTCTATCATCATCTTAACTTCATCTCAACTGTATCATTATTTATATCATTATCATCATCACAATCATCATCATCTTATCTATACCATCATCATCATCCTACCTGTATTATCACAATTATCTCACTACCTCCATCATCATCACCTTATTCTCATCTGTATCCTCATCATCATTCCAACTGTATAATTATTATCATCATCATCACATTCATCTTTTTACCTATATCATCGTCATCATCACCATACTTGAATCATCATAATTATCATCATGACATCATCTTAACTTAATCACCACGACCACCATCATCATCATTATTAACTTACCTTCATTCTATCATTATCTCACCTCAATATCCTCCTTATCACACACCTTCATCATCAAAAACTCACCGGTGTGTCCCATCAGCTGAGCTGCACTTTGAAGTGGCTCATCATCTTCCGCCACATAGTCATCAGCCTCAGCATGCTCTTCCTCTAGCCCGTGCATGCTACTAACATCATACTGCACGGGACCGCTCTCCACCACGATGTTGGCCTTGCTCTCTATCTTAGCATCCTTCTTCACCTCCTTCTCTTCTTCAATCTTCATTAGCTTTGGTTTGCTCTAAATATTAACAATCAGAAAAAAATAAGTTATTGTTTCTTCTAAAAACACTCAAAAATACTACTACTACTTACCCCGATTAGAAGCCCAATGGGCTTAATCTCAAGAAGAAGCCCATCTCGAATTGTAGCCCCCTCTTTAGTTTGAAAAATTAGCCTCGAAAAGAAATAATCTTGAAAAGAAGCCCATGGGCTTCTTTTTAAGATATAGTATATACTATACACGAATTTCAAATAAAAAGAAATAAATTTAAAACACACTTGGTTTATACATACAGGTAGTTGATTTAATGCTGGTTAATACACTCCATGATACAGACTGATGTTACAGTGGTCCTATATGTATATAGTAATATAGTAGTAATTCCCAAAATTTATAGCATTGATCTAGAAAAGAAGGGGCTTCTTTTCTAGATCAATGCTATAAATTTTGGGAATTACTACTCTTTACTTTGCAAAATAAGCCCATCTCGAAAAGAAGCCCAACAAAAGCTCCTATTCAAGGTTTTATGGTATTGTCCTTATGAATATTGTACTTGTGAATAATTGACTTATTATACATTCACATTCTTAAACTTCTATTTTGTTTACGAAATTGCAATTAAAGTGAAATTTGATTAGATTTTGTTTTTTGATTTGCTTTGTTGATGTTACATTAAATCATCTTGATACAAAGTTTATTCTATATATTAATATTTTAATTAACTTTATCAATATTTAAAATTATTTTAAAGAAACTAATGAAAGTCACAAGTATGGCAAAAGTCAGGAAAAAGAATTTGGATAAGAATCTATTTTTTACAGTGCACAGTCTCGCATGTATATGAATTACCACAATCATTTGAATAAACGCCCTGGGCCATTTATTGACAAGGTCTTTTTTTAGGGGTGTTTATTCAAGGGAGGCATTAATAGAATGTGTTGCACATGAATTGCTTCAGTTAAATTTTTTATAATCATTTATGGGGACGGTTATTAGAGGAAAAAATAAACGCACCAGGTGTTTAATTGATACTAACCGAGCCAAAGCTATCTCGTTTATTGCTACCAAGAAATGGACGAGTGCGTTTGGCAGTGATTGGTCGAATTGGTCCAGATTCTTCAACGACTTCCATTGGGGGTCTTTGCGGTGAACTGATGTCTGTGCTTTTGTTAAGGTCCCTGAGAACATCATAGTTAATTTTACAGGATATTTTCTTCTCTACCAAAAGTTTTTCTATTGCCTCGCCAGCTGTGTTGGCTTGGATTGGGGCTTTTTTATGTGATTTTCGTTTCTGAAAAAGTACAAAGTAGGAAGTATATCAAATATTTTTCATTTTTCATTCAACCTAAATGATAGCAATATCAAGTATTTCATATTTTTATAATAATAATAATAATAATAATAATAATAATAATAATATTATAGGGATTTATACCACACATTTTGCCAAGGGGTACAAGACGCTGGTGACGTTATTACCCCTCGTCATTTCATCCATAATCCAACCAGCACCAAGTGCAACCTCTTCCACTCTCTCAGAAGTATTCCTCGTCATGCTAGCAATTTAATGCTGATAAGACTAATACATCAAATGCCACATCATCCTACCAGAGACAAATGTGGGTGCCTTGCCCAAGGACACAAACGAAATTCAAAACAAAGGTTCAAACCTCCATCCTCAAAGTAGAGAGACAGAAACGCAATCGTTGCGCCAACTGCTCAGACATATATTTTATTAAAGCATGGGACATGTGTTCTCCCATCTCTCTATTTGACTCCAAAAATTACAAGTTAGTAAATTATAAAAAAAACCAAAAAAAAAAAACTGCAGTCATGATGTGTATTTTTAAAATTTGGAGATAGAGATCCAATGGTTTTTTAAGTTTACAAGTTACATTATTAGAAGTAAGGAAACACGAAATTAAAAAGAAAATATGTAATAAAAGAACTAACCTTTTTTGCCTGGTCAGGTTTAATTATACCTAATTCTCGGTCTTTAGCTTCTCTCTCTTCTTTTTCTATCAAATAAAAATAAAAGAAAAAAATTATGTCAATGTTTTATATCAGTATTCGTCTTCATTTATTATATTATAAACATAAATAAGTATTTCGGTGAGAATCACACCAAGGATAACCCAGGAAGTCTGAAGAC